TCTCTCTCTCTCTCTCTCTCTCTCTCTCTCTCTCTGTGTGTGTGTCTGTGTGTGTGTGTGTGTGTGTGCGTGTGTGTGTGAAACGTTTCACTCGTGGAAAGTAAATGTGGGGAATGCACTGAAAGGGGTGTGCCTCTCATCCAAGTGGCTGTTTTGGCCCGCCTCGTGCCCGACACTGCTTTATGGTCAGAGTGAAGAGTGGCCATGGGAAATGCACTGAAAGGAGTGTACCATGGACTTTTGGAAAATGTGGAGGTGGAGTTCCAGGTCAGAACTGGAATCTTCATGTATCAACTCGATGAAGTTGGGAGTTCAGTGTCCACTGAAGAGGCAAAGGGCAAGTCACCCCTCAAGATTGGTGACAACAGCCAACGTGGGAAGACGAGAAAGCAAAAGCACACTCGCTCAACAATATAGAAAAGCAATCATAAAAACTGAAAAGAGAATAATTCAAATATTACAATGCGGAGAAATCAAAGAGAGCAAACCGGAGCCAATGGAGAACTTATGGGCAACGTTATGACATAGCAGGTGTACGCTTGGGACGGTGGAGTTCAACAAGGGCACACCTGCACGTCCCACAGGGTTTGAAATCTGAGGCGGATCGTCTTGGTCGAGCCCTCTGTTCTCGAGTCGTTCTTTGTGGGCCATGTAAGTAAAGTCCCTGCGAAGATATGGATCCTCACACATGCACTCGGAGCAAAGCATATGTGGCCAGAAAGGTGCTATGGCGGGCCACGGAATGACTGTCAGCTCGTGGTACGACTAAAAGCACCAAATGGGGCTGAAAAGTCGTTTCCACGATCACAAATACTGATCCTGGATACCCCGAACAGCAGTCTTGTGGGGAAAGATGTACGGCTTATAGATTTGAGCCCCCGCTTTTCCCATATCCCACGCACACACTTGCCTCCAAGGGATGTGGTACGAGAATGGGGATAAAGAAAGGGGAGGAGTCAAGTCTCCCAAGGATTCGAATGTGGGTTCAGGGATAGAGAACTGTTTGGAATAATCATTCTGACACTGTTCACACATTCAATCTGCATTTAACCATACAAAATATTTCAGAAACGCAGAATAAAATACACACCCAGAAGCATATGTCACACACATAACCAACAAAGCTCACACCGAGATCACAGTCACTCACAAGTCAGGGAAAGAAGCAAAACAGTGCCTGAAAAAGGAGGCGGTCAACTTCCATAACCAGTCTTCTGAACTTAACTGTAGACAAGCCAGCTGATCACACCTACTTTTGTCCGAGCACTGACAGTCCCTCATCTTGCCCTTGCCTAATGCTTATGACGATCGTCACCCCGCAAGTCCAATCAGTATGGCAGGTTAGCCCAAGCCCCATAGTCCCTCGCTGCGAGCTTACCATGCCCACTTGACCTGCTGCCAGCACATGGGGACTCTCTGACTCTCCAATCATCCACCAAGAACTAGCTGCTCCACTGGATTTCGTTAATCAGTGAAGAAGATGAGCTTTCGGGATTTATAGTTATGCAATGGGGGAAGGAAGCATGCAAGCAAGGGGCGCAAGGGAAAGAGAGAAGGGGAGAGGAGGAAAGACAGTTGAAAGATTGCTGGAAAGAAGGAACAAGTGTGACGCACGTGCGGGTGGGACGTGCGGAGATGGTGAGAGACAGAGAGGGAGAGAGAGAGAGAGAGAGGAGATGGACACACACGAGAAGCAGCAGCTGAGTGAAGGTCCAGTCCGGCTCGATCAAAGAATGAACAACTGAATGAGTGACCAACCCGGCCTGGGCCTAGGCCGGAAAGATATACCGACCTTGGTCCAGGCCGAAGTAACCCGGTACCGGACCGGGGTCAGGCCGACGGCCTGAAACAGGTCCGGCCTCACTGCCGGGCCGGAAGGGTACCGCTACATGATCCTCGGACCTGTAAATGGATAAAGCGATACATCAACACGCTATGCGCTGAAATAGCGGAAACCCAGAGGAACGACAAAGAAACAATCCTAAATGCGGAGCAAGCTCCGTGCAAGAAAGAGATGCAATGTATACTAAGCCTCAAGCCTAATCTATACAACAATGTCTGGTCTGAGTCGACCCAAAAAGCAGAAAAATGTTTGACCTGTGGTCGCCAACAAAGAGAGAAATGTTTGACCTGTGTCGGCCAAGAAAGAGGAAAATGTCTCCTAAGCCAATGTGGCTACCTGAGCCCTAAAGGCTAAAGAGTAACTAGATCAATATCCACACTGAAAAAGAATGTGGCACAGTCTCACGTGCCCTGTACAAGTACACAATAGCCGAATAGAAGGGAGGGAGCTCAGTTGCATGGGAAAGGTAGGGATGGGTGGGAGGGCAGCAAGTACAGCTCTCAGAGTAAACTCCAAGGGGGTACCCACACAACCATATGAAACATCATCAGGCTCAGAGGGAGAATAACAGCACGACACCAGGCTCAATGGAAACCATCAAACGGGCACCGCCAGCTGAAAGGAAAAGGGGCACTCACACAGGGGAGCACACAAGCGAGCCTGGAAGGATAGGGGGGGCTATGCCGACATAGGCATATGGCCAAGGGCTGCGAGCAAAGAAAAACGTACACTCCGGAGGAGGGCGCGCAGCATAGGGTAAGGCAGAAGGGCGGCAAAGGAACACACCCACATGATCAGGGAAAACAGGGTCAACATGCGACTGAAGGGTAAACTCGAGGATGGTCGATAGATGGGAATGGTGGAAACTCCGTGGCCGAAAAAGTGAAGTAGTCCAACTGATGAGTCTCCAGACTGAAGTCGAGTTGAAGTAGCCAAGATGAAGTAGGAGTAGCGCAGAAACCGAGTAGAAGCCCGGAACACTGCGACAGGTACTCTGGTACTGAAGAGAAGCACTGAGGTCGAAAGTCGAATGTAGAAGCCGAATGTAGAAGCCGAATGTAGAAGTCGAAACCGGGAGCTGCTGCATAGGTGTCCAAGAATGGTAAAAGATAGGGAGCGTATAGGGGGGTATAAATCAGTCACGGTAGCGAGAAGGAAGTCGATGGGTACGTTGAGGTCGAGAGGAATCAACTGCAACAACAGGCGGAACCACATCCACAGGGGAAGGGGGACCTGAGGCAGGTGTCGGTGGAGCTGGAGGACCCATCGATGGAGGAGGGGGTATGTTAGTGGTCGCTGAAGTAGATGGGTCAGTAGAAGGACGAGAAGTAGGAGGGGAGGATGATGAAGGGAAAGGATGAGCACGATCATAAGCACGCACGAAAGTCATGGCATGCTTCAGGTGCTCGAGAAGCTCCCAAGTAGACTCCTCGTCAGGGTAACCCTTCCATCGAACAAGATACTCGAGGCGGGGAGGGTCACCATCAGTCATACGCCGGGACGCGATATCAGAGACAACAAACTCCTCATGACCCTCAATGATGATGGGAGAGGGGCGAGAGTAACGTCGACCGTGGAACTCAGGGGGAGACCGTCTGAAGGGGCGCAATAGAGATACATGAAACACATCATGTAGGTTAGCGCAATACATGGAATCGGGGAGCTTCAATTTGAAGCTCACCGGACAGTCATGATTAGGTCCGGCGGGTGAAAGAATAGTGCATGAACCGATATATCGACATCTGAATTTCCGAAGCGTGTCGGCCTCAGGCTGGAAGTGACGTGCATCGACAAGGACTTCGTCGCCAACTTTGAAGGGGTGATCGATGCGGGAACGGTTGGCGCTAGTAGCCATGCGAGTCTGGGAGTCAGCAATGCTCTTGCGAGCATTGCTGAGAATCTCATCCATCTCCTTAACCCAGTCATCAAGGGCGGGGCATTTAGTGTCAGGATGGATCTGAGATGGACGAAGGAGATCAGATGGGACACGAGGGTGATATCCCAAGTCACAGTAGTAAGGAGACATGCCGGTGGCTGGTGAAATAGCATGGTTATAAGCAATCTCTGCATGGGCGAGATGGAGGTCCCAATCAGAGTCATTCTCAACAAACTTCTTGAGAATATTCCCAAGAGTTTTGTTGGTGACCTCGGTCTGTCCGTCTGACTGGGGATGGTAAGAAGAGGAGAAGCGAAGCTTAGAGCTGTAGATCTCGTGGAGTCCACGCCAGAAGTGGGAAGTGAAGCGGGGGTCACTGTCAGAGACAATACTAGTAGGAAGATCGTGATGAATGACGATGCGGTTGAAATAGAGTGAGGTGATGTCTTTAGCTGAGCTAGCATACTTGCAAGGGAGGAAGTGAGCATGCTTAGTCAACCGACAGACAACAACAAAGATGGCGTCATGGCCTCATGGGGTAGGGGGACGAAGGGGACCCATGAAGTCCATGGAGACAGACGTCCAACGCTGAGTAGGAATGGGTAAGGGCTGAAGAAGACCATAGGGGGGATGATTGGTAATATTGGCCTCTTGGCAGATCTTGCACGTGTGGACATACTCCTTAACGAAGGTGCGGCGGTGCCTCCAATAGTAATGGCGGTAGAGGCGGTCAAGAGTCTTGTAGACACCGAAATGACCGGCGGCACACTGATCATGACTCTCAGTGACTGCCCTAACACGGAGCTGGCCGGTAGAAGGCACACATAAATGAGGAGTACGAGGATGATTGAGTCCAAGCCAGTACAAGAGTCCAGAGGGGTCGAGCTGAAAGTTAGGGACGGTCTTGCCAGCCTGTAAGTCAACGTAGATGGACTGAAACTCAGAACACTGGGGGTAAGCACGACGGTACTCATCTAGGAAAGCAGGATGGATAATGGGAGTGGAGACAGAAAGAGCAGAGAGTTGCAGATCATCGCACTTGAGGTTAGGGCGACGGGATAGGGCATCTGTGACACGGTTGCTCTCACCGGAGATCTTCCTGATCGTGAAGTCGAGCTCGGAAAGATCACACCACCAACGAGCCTGACGAGAAGTGAGTTTAGGCTTCGTCTGAAAGGCGGCGAGGACAGAGTTGTCCGTGAGCACGGTGAAGGTATGACCCTTTAGATGATGACGCCACTTCTTAACAGCGTAAACCAGCGTGAGAACCTCACGCTCGTCAGCAGTATAGTTACGCTCCGTGGGAAGTAGATGTCGAGAGAGATAAGCAACCGGGCACTCTCCACCGCGACACTCAACTGTACCGTCATCGGCGACGTCAGGAATATATGGCGGGGGGGCTCTTGGAGGAGTAGGCTCAATGGGTGCGAGGTGAGCCGCAGTTGCTGGAGGTGCAGGAGGGAATCGGGGAATGCGCGGGAGTCGAGACTCCGTGGAATCGGGTGGAGTAGAAGGGGCTGAGTAAATCTGAGATAGGACAGCTCCAATCGCAAAGTCTGAAGCGTCTATGGTGATAATGAATGGACAAGAGTAGTCAAGGAGGTGCAAAACGGGGGCTGACGTGACAAGCCGCTTGAGGGAGCGGAAGGCATCCTCATGAGCCAGGGTCCAATGAAAGGGTAGACGTTCACGGGTCAGAGGGGTAAGTTGGGCGGTATACACCGCGTAGTTCTTAAGAAAATGACCATAGTAGTTGGTCAACCCAAGGAAACTACGTAGCGCAGGAAGAGAGGTAGGAGTGGGCCAGTCGACAATGGCCTGAATCTTTGAGTCGTCCATGTGGAGTCCGTGCTCGGAGACCTGATGCCCCAGGAAGTCCACTTTGGGTTGAGCGAAGCAGCACTTGGAGAGCTTCGCATAGAACCCATGGTCGCGTAATCGTTGGAGGACAGTGCGAAGGTGGAACAGATGTTCCTCTAAGATACGACTGTAGACCAGGATGTCGTCAATATAGACTAGAACCGAGTCCTCAAGAAGGTCTTGGAACATCGTGTTCATAGCCGTCTGGAAGGTGGCAGGAGCATTACAGAGACCGAAAGGCATGACGGTAAACTCATAGTGCCCAAAACGAGAACGGAAAGCGGTCTTAGGCTGATCCTCCTCGGCTACGCAGATCTGGTGATATCCGCTACGAAGATCGATCTTCGTGAAAAAGTGGTGGTCGGAGAGGCGATCGAACAGATCATCCGCGCAGGGCATAGGATAATTGTTTCTGACCGTATACTCGTTGAGACCGCGGTAGTCGAGGCAGAGGCGGAGGGTGTCGTCCTTCTTGCGATCGAAGAGGACAGGTGCACTCCATGGGGACGTACTCGGTTTAATGAAGCCCTGACGAAGCAGCTCGTCAATTTGGCGTTTAAGTTCCTAGGCTTCAGGGACCGAGAGGCGATATGGGGCGTGATGCTGAATACGGTAGTTAGGTTCGAGTCGAATGTGGTGCTCGATATCGCGCATAGGAGGGATGATGCTATAGGAGACAAATGGAGGGAAAACATCTCGATACTCGCGAAGGAGGGCCGCAACGGTAGGCTGCAAAGACGATAGGAGGTTGTCAAACTCTTCGGCAACAACAACATCTGAAGCAGGGGTGGAAGGAGTTGGTATGGGAATAGGTACCGATGGCGCCTCCGTGGTAAGGGATGCAGCAAGGTGAGATGAGCTAGCAGGGGTGAAGGAGGATGAGGAGGTTGAAGGATCAGGGGGCTCGGGAGGCTCGGGGGGTGAGAGAGAGAGAGAGAGAGAGAGAGAGAGAGAGAGAGAGAGAGAGAGAGAGAGAGAGAGAGAGAGAG